ACGACAAATTTTTTACAAGTCTTCCAATTCAAATTTCCCAAAACTGTACTGAAAATATTGAATTGCATGGAATGCATTTTGCTAATTTACATATTTGCCACTTGCACAGAATTTTTAATAAATTAAAAAAAAACAGTGGCATGAGTTTGGTAATCATGTTTACTGAGTTCCAAAATCTCCCTTAATTTTAACTTGGGAAGCTGGAGAAAGATCGAACTCTGGCTGTTCACAGTGAAGTTTCGCAGCTAATACGTAAACCACAATTAAAAAATTGCACTGGAATTATTCTTGATCTTTTGTTTCTTAATAGAGAATAGAATTGTATGATTTTTCCCATCTGCAACTATCTAGCTTCCATCAGCTGGGTTTAGCCGGAAGACAACACTTTTGAATCCTGGACCTTATTTCACCGTTCGCGACGCAAATCAACAACGTTAGCCAGAGAAATGGATGTCCCAGGTTGAATAACCCTGATTTTGAACCCATTGTTCATTTTGATAACAACAGTTAACAATTTTCTTGTGCAGCCATCCCAAAGGCATAAAGACCATATGCAATAAAATGAAACCTCTACATAAAAATACACAGAAGATCATAATAAACACAATCAAAGAAACCAAAGAGAGATGGCTGAAAGGAGAGTGTGTGGAAGTAGAAGATATCTGCTTTAAGCATACAGGAGAGCAAGAGAATTGACTAGAATACAAAAGGAGAGGAACATCGTGTCACGTGCAAATGATCAAAACCAAAGAATTTTTGGAGAACAAAATCTTAAAAACATTTTGAGCAAATGTACAGAAGACAACTTTAGAAACTGTACAGCCTATGGAGTATTTGTCCATGAAGGCATCTGAAATTGAAAAAGCTCCGAAGTATTGTTCCAGAGGCCCCGAATTCTGGCTGCGAGTGAAAATACCAGATCGAGATTGTCCTGACTACTTTCTGTTCTTCTCTAACGACAACCTGAACCTGTAGTTGAGATGGTGAAACTCAATATATATTGAGTATGAATTCATATGAAGTTCGAAGTTTGAATAAAGTTTTCATTCACTTCATATGAAGAATGCAGACTGACGCCGACAACTAGAATACTTCATATGTCGGGGACACAGCATGTTTCAGGCGAGAATGTTCTACGAATCATATCTTGAACATGTTTTGAAGGGTGATATTTTACAATTTCAATAGAAAGGAAGCAACAGTCGAGACTCCGAAGTATTCGAAACTGGACAGCTTTTAGTACAAAAATCTATAAATTACACCGTGAAGAAACGTAATGCGACGACTAATTTTACAGAATTTTGTAATGCTTTCAATTTGTTGGATTCTTCGGAAGTTTCCATCTGGTCCAAGTTCAGAAAGGAAAAAATTTAATTTATAAATCTGGACACTGTTGTTATTTGTGGCTTCCAGTTCTTCCGAACAAATTATGTCACCACCTATTGCGAATCATCAGGTAGTTTTCACCTGTTTCACCAGTTTCAAAAGCATATAATCAGTTGCAAAAGATGAAACCAATCCACCAGCAGGAAACGGCAAGATTCAGCAGTAAAAAAGCGGCTCACATAATTAATAAACCACTGAACAAAATACCATGAAGAATGCCAACAGTTCCAAGTAGCCAAGTTATCACATATTTACCGATAGAAATCTCATGTCAGAATGGCAATTAAGATACTCTTCATTCCGAGCAGTTGTAGAAGCCTTTCTAATGATCAATACGTGGAATTTTTCACGAATTATCTGCAGCCCAGATCAAGCGATCATCAACAAGATAGATGGCACAAGAATAACGAACATCAACGAGTTGAATCTTTTATTGTTGTTTAATTCGGTACCGAACTGAAGAGTGACGGGTGAAGAAGTGCTGAAGCAAACAGACGTGGAAGGGAAAAAAAGGAAAAACTGACTGGCACCAGTACTGAAAGATCTTGATGAGAAGGGAATAATGGCTGAAAAAAAAACGCTTGAAAAATCCCGATTAGTTGTATGATTTGTCGACGAACGGCAACATCTAATTGGAACCCACCGCCACTATTTGATCCCGTTGACCTCCAGGACAAGTCAGAACCCGCGTCATCATTGACGTCAAATGGTTCTCTTATCGACATTTGTTTAGTGTCAACAGTAACCCAACGAAAGTAATAAGTACATATTATGCATGACTCTTATATAAGGCTACCGATTATCGATTTTTAGGTTGTTGGACAACAAATTTTGATTGCGGTTCTCATATATATTTTGAGAAAAATGCGTGATTTTTTGTAGCATTCTATGTATTAAATTTTTGCCATTTTAACAGAGTCAATGTAATTTTCTTCACCTGGGAACCCGTATATGGAATATTTTTCTTAATGTTTATTACCGAAGAATCTCATTAGGTAGCAAAATCACAGAAAACATCGCAATTACTTCGAAGTTCCAATGATGGATTAGCGGCTCCTCTAGTGAAGATTTAATTATTATTTTCCACACTTATTATTTTATTTTATTAACACGCAATTTTCAAAGTCAAAAGACGCATTTGAGAACGCATTTCAACTGCCTCGATATGATGATTAAGAATGAAGTCCTTTCGAATCCTTCCGAAATTTATTGTCATTGTTTTCAAGAAGTTTCCTAATTCTGCAAGAATAAGTAGAATGGATTGCGACCCAATCTTTTCTTGGCTTAAAAAATCAAATGATGTCAAAACAGCGGAGTTTAAAACACATTTTTTTCAACAAAAATTTTTAGAAGAATACAATTTTTAATCAAATAGCCTTATTAAAAAGGGGAAAAAGTTTTCCCGTACTTTCCAAGTACGGTATATCATATTATACCGGTTGTAACCACCATATAACCCCTTAAAAGGACTAACGTCGACTTTGAATCACCCTGTAAGTCAGATTTCACTAAAATACTTCCATCAATCACTTTATACAAAAAGCATCCTTTTACTGAATTTCTGGTGATTTCATGAACCCAACCGAATTTTTGGTTACGTGATAGTTTTCAAGAAGAATTTAACGGCTTTTACCGTTAACGTTAATTACCTTATGAAAATTAGGACAGTTTTCCTTTTGTTTGTCTCTCATGCGTCATAGTTTGATGATTTTCAAATTGCTTTTAAAGAGGACACAACCAATTGAGATCCTATTAATAGCGGTTTAAGGCGTCAAAGAAATATTGAAATTCGGCCAAATATTACAGCATGTCCAGAAGATGTTAAATAGACTTTGCCGAAAAATCGAAATATCCCTGCTTACTAAGTGGTCTCGATCGAGCAAAACTAAAATTTTGCTCTTCTCTAAAACAACAATTTAAATTCCTTTAAATTGTTGTTTTTCTGAAACTCAAATCGCCTGAATCTCGTATGACTTCCAAAGGCCTTTGATTTTTTCGGTCTTAGTCTTAGTTAAAGAACTTAAAGACTTTTTGCTCTGCCTTTCCGGATTTTAAAATCGATCAGGAGATTTCCTAAATATCAACAGGAAACTAAATTGATATTTTGAGCCCTTTTATTACTAAAGGGAAGGATTTTTGAGAATTTTGCGATATAAACATTTTTTTGTGCTGACTACCAGTGTCTATATTTCCATATTTAAGGCCCGAAGCAGTTTAAATGCATTCTTCAAGTCTCTTAAAGCGTTATGGTCGATTGTGAAGAAGGTCGCAAGAGGTTCCATCTGAAACTATTATTATTTTAGATCTGAAACTTTTCTTGTGAAGGAATCAATGGTTTAATCGGAACCAAATCCACACTACCAGTAAGCTGATGCTTCTTGTAATAATCACTGGAACCCAAATTTTCATATCTGAAGCTATTCCTTAGCGAAAAGCTTAAGATGAGCTTGATTTAAAAATACAAAGCAACAAATCTGTCCAAAGCCAAACTTATTTGAAATCAGCAAAGCAAAGAGAGAGAAATATAAAAAATCCGTAAAACTTCAGTTGCTTGTCGGAAAACTAAAATCAGTTCAAGCCAAAGATTGATAGATGAGAGAATTCTTGGCAACTTTCTTCAAGCTGGGGCACCATCCTCCATTTTCTACCCATTAATATTCAACAAGTTCACTACACTTTCACAAACTACCGCACTTGCCATAAGGGCCACAATGATTCTATATTTCCCATATAAGAACGCGATTCATACGACACAAAAGATTATCCACCGATTTAGTCCACTGTCGGTAGCAAGCTGAATATTCATACACCTTTTCAAAAAAAAGACTCCGAACTACAGTATTTAATTATTTGCTTGTTCGCCCTTTCGATGATTCATTGCTTTACTTGGCAGTTCGATTTCAGTTCGTTTATTGTTGACGTTTTTTGTAGAAAGTGCCTGTTCACATTGCAATATTTCCAAAGGCAAATTTTACGTTCCAACTAAACGAAAAACGCCTCAAGCGCCAATCTTTCACTAATTTAATTTAAAATTTAGAGCCATTTTATTTGTCTGAATTTCATTCAGCTGCAGTGATTAGTGCACAATGCCAAAACCAAAACTAATAACCGAATGAATTTTGTTTTTCTAAAAATATTGACTGAACAAAAAAATCGAGAGAAATCACTTAAAAATTAAACAGTTGCTCAATTTTCGAGTTCATTTTCAACTAATTAAAAATGTCCTTTTCACCAGCAGTAATATTCAAAAGCGCAATTGGAACTGCGGCGCGAAGAGTTATAACTCGCCAAATCAAAGAGCGGCATCAACTGAAAAGCGCAACTCACCGCAGTGTTACCCAGGCCTGGGTTTGATCCATTTTTGAGCGGGTTTAATCCGGCGGGATTGTTATTTGTTCGATAATAGTAAATACTTGATGGTAGTATTAAATTGAAACTTTTGGGGCTTATAAAATGAACCTTCCTCTTTCCGGTGAATGATACCCCAAGGGACAAAATGATTTGTCTACGATTCTGCTAAACATGTTTAAATCAAACTGGAAATAACTATTTCTAACTGCCCATTTCGACTCGAGTCACATGAAGAGAAAAGGGAAAATGAAAACAAGACTCACCTCTCTCCATTTCTGAGTGGGTCGCAGTGAGTCCCCAGATGGTGGCGCCTCCCCAGCGCCATCTTGGTCCTCATCGCCGCTCAACGTGGAGCACGTGGAACAGTTGGAGGACTTGCGGTAAGGTTTGGAGAGCACATAGTCTGACTCCAAGCCACTGATCGTCGAGCCGCAATAGTTCAAATTGCTGCAAGAGCTATGCAGACTCGATTCGGGACTGGAGGACGGATCGTCGCGACGACTCCGGATATACTCAACGTCTTCAAGCGTCAGCCCCATTATGTCATCCGAGTAGTCACTAACCACTACCGAAGGAGTTCGCCAGCACCGATAACGCGACACGTCCTCGCCGTCGTCTGTAAAGCAGCTCTGTCGCCGGCTCTCGCAATCAGTCTCTTCACTCGCATAGTCCATGCTGGACTTTCGGTCCAGCGGAAACACCACCGTGTGAGCCTCGATGATGATCTTGCTGGGCACGCTGGACTGAGCCAGCGTGCTGGCAGCGGAATACTGAACGGGTGGGCAGTCTTTGGTCTCTTCATCGCTGGGACCCATGGCGGAGTCCGAGCTTCCGCACCGGGTGACTTTGTGTTTCCGGTGCCAGGAATCATCGTCGCTGGCACCGGAACTGAAATAGTCACTCTGTGGAGGCGCCAGGTGCCTCTTGAAACCGTCCGCCTCTTCCGGCTCTTTGCCGGCTTTCACCAGCATGGCAAGGTACTCATCGCGCAACTGTCGCACACTCTTCAACGCCACTTCCTCCGGCTCACTGTAAAGGGCGTCGCGTTCGTAGACGCCCTGCCGCCTCTGTCTCTTACCCACGTTGGGACTACCTGGTGCCGGTGGTTTCGGCTCGGTACCAGGTGCGCCCGTCACCGGGTCTGCCATCTGTGGAACAACCGGCAAACCGACTGGCCACTGGTCAGCACTCGAGAGCACCGCTAGTCTTCTGAAGAAGCTACGGTGCTGATCTGTGCTGGTGCTGGGCGCATCGCTGCGTTCCGCCCTCTTCGGCGGCACAATTTTAACCGTGTCGGCGCCGCTGAAGAACCACGAGGAGGCGACCTCCTCCTCCTCCTCCGCGGCGGGAGTCCGGCGGGTGGTCCAGAACCCGGTGAAACTGAAACGGAAAGAGCACCAGTTGGAATTTGAGTGTGGCGTGCATGCTATATGAGATGTGTGGGGCGACTGCTGCCTTATCATTGTTTATCAAACAGCTCGGAACGAGCGGATTAATGTAAAGTACATGTACCAACTAACCGGCCGCTCGTCGGAATGCTGGTACTTAAATTACAGTGYAGCCAATTTACATGTATGATTGTGCTGCTGGTACAAGGGACAAGCTGAGTGCTGCTTGTCTATTGTGCGATGTTCAATTTTGATTTTCTTACTTATCAGTCTATTTTAGGYCTATTTCGGACAATATAGCAGGCSCCCAAATGGACAGTTTAATAAATAACTGTATCAACGCTTGCAATCTTCAAATAGTTTCGCCTCATCATGTATTTCTAATTCTTTTAATTTTAAAARCGTTCAAAATTTTTGATTTTAGCACTAGTTTCAAAACTGCGCGCACTCAGAGTYTTAATAACYGATCTATTCTTCACATATTTTTTGTCAAATCGGTTGTTTGCCACTCGTATCATTCCCAACAGCATTTTTAGASCTAAAACACGGCGCATTCACAACAGGGGACAGAACGTTCGCCTAAATCAAGATTYTTTCMGTCAAAYCAAGAACCTTGAAATTTGTTGTACTGTTATGGAACTGTACTATTTGGCCAACACATGATTAATTAGTTTTGTTTAATATTATGATATATTTCCAATAACTCCCAATTGTACAGGATGGGCCAAATTGGACACTTTTAAATGGAAACTCCCATTTCTATATCAGATAGACAAAAACTGATATCAGTGTGTCAGCCTCGACTTTTATTGCAAATTAATGGTGAAAACAATGACAATACCTCTAACTCTATCTTTTGGAAAGCTCATCAAGTCTTTTCCTGTGATTTTTTTAAACTTTCTAGACTACACTTTTTCACCTCGTATCCAATAATGTAAGTTTTATTTGTGGTAAGAAAGTACTTTCCTAGTTAATAACAAAAAATAAATCTTTTTAAATGGGACACTGTATATTTTTCATATTTAACTTTAGCTTRAAATTATATTTCCAAAAATATACCACAATCTAAGTTTTGCTCAACTATTCAATAAAAGATACAGATTCAAAATTGGCGTCATTCCTTTTAAGAGGTAATAGGGGCTCACTAGAAGAGTACCTAACAGAAAAATATTGAAAATTCTTTTTTCGATAATTTCTAGAAGACATTAACAGCTGACAATCGAATTTCAACATTGTTATTAAGCATTATTTTAAAATTGTCCAATGTCTAATTGGTAGCATATTAGAATACTTCAACATTCAAAAAAAATTACGATATTTGCTTCAAATTACAAAGCTTTTTGATTTAAAGAAAGTTCTCTTCTACAATTTTTCGATGAAACGTCAAAGCGGCAATGATGTTTTTTGTCATTAACAAGATAGTTACAGGTAGATAGCCTTTGTCRATAATAACAATAATTTGTCAAAAGCSACTTACTTTGAAGCTCCTTTCACTAATTTGCGTAGTAACATAGCAGAAGCTGTAAGAACTTACGTCAACAAAGGGCTAGAKACACTGATGGAGAGTGGTTCCAGGAAGATAGTGGACGAAAATAGATGTTCGGATTCCAGACACAGAGGAACAAGTATTGGRCATWATWGMARCAGAGCCTTCCAGGGGCAGTCAGAGCAAAATAACTGACACTTTCGMARGCATCAAATAAATACCGGGGCAGGGCTACATTCCTACCACGTATGTAAGATACGCACAGCACAAGGACACATTAAACCAATGGATTTCTGAACACTGGTACAAATTCAGCAGGAGTTAATTAACCGAATAGGAGAAGCTGCTCCATAAGAGTGGATAATAAGGAGATTACACAGGCACTAACTTGTTTCGAGATAATGACTCAAATGTATGTTTATTTGTAAACATAAATTTAAGGTTACATTTAGTTTCTGGATGTTAAAACTTGGTTTTTAAAAAATGTTTATTTTTACAAGCCAAAAATAGATTTTTCAACAACGAACTAACTGCCTTAACTGCTAACTAGGGCTCGGAAAAAACTTATTCGAGTATTCGAATATCCGAATATTCGAATACTCGAATAATCGAATACTCGAATACACCAACATTATCAAACTCACAAGGTGCAAATATATTTATATGCACTTTGTATACTTTTATAAAATAAATTATTCATATTCTACAGGCATTTAAACAAATACCCATATATTTACAAGCAAATGAAAATAATCATATTTACTTTTCTGCAAATGGTGATCCGCGTCATCAACTTTTGCGCGGTGTTACAATTAATGTGCCGACAAAGGCACTTTTTTATCAGTTGCGGCTAGTTGCCAAAAATGATATGAGATAACGATTTTTCTTCTTGAAAAACGGTGAACGGAAAACGAACACTCGAATATCTAACGAATACGAATAGAAATACTCAAATATTCGAATACTCGAATATCTAACGAATATTCGAATACTCGATTATTCGAATATTCGAATAATTTTACTGTTCGAATAAACCACTAAACGAATATTCGAATATCAGATTTTTTAAAATTCCGAGCCCTACTGCTAACTTAGGACTAATTTCCACATGCCGAATGCGCAGCATATATCTTTTTAGTGCTGGATCGACAGTTCTTGATTGAAATACATAGTGGTCTGAGTATGTGGCCATATAACTGTTATGAGGACAATAATTGACATTTCGAAAAAGTACGTCCCACAGTCTACGAATCCTGTTGAATTTACCGTTTTTCCTTGTCTATTTTATTGTCACTTTTGTAAGTTTTTAATAATTACGAAACAACAGGTATTTCCGTAATGTTAATTACTCAGATTACCTTGAAAAACATTGTTGCCGTCTTTTTGATATAGTTTTTTGCAAATTTCTCAGTTTTTAATAACAATAAAAAATGTTTAC